TTCTGCAGACTGAGGGGCCCCTTTCGCCACCCGCGGGCCCCAGCCTTGCACAACTCTTTAAATAACCGTGTTTTGCAAGGCCTCGAGGAGCTGGTGACCTCTCTCCCGACGCATGGGGGGAGGGTGTGGTCCCTGGTTGATCCCCGCCCCCACCCCACCAGACCCCTGCGACCACCCTGCACCCCATCCCCATCTAGGAATGTCTGTCCCTGGGCCTGTCATAAAGTGGGGGTGGGGGCCGAGGACAAAGAACTCCTGGGGGAGGGGTCTGCAGGGGTGGGCGTCATCCGGGTAGGGTTAATGGAGCGCATCAGGGGACCCAGGCCTGGCTCTGGGGCGCTCCGGGGTTCCCACCTGCCCCCTCCTCAAGCCCCAGCCTGGAGGCCCGTCCTGATCCCCTCCCCCACCCGTGGAGGACCCGGAAGGGTCATTAAACCCAGGAGGCCTGCAGAGGGGGGGGTGATGGGGGGGAGTGGCTTCCTCTGGCCTCTTCCTTCTGCCCCCCCCAGAGGGGCGTTGCCTGGAGCATTTCCGTGGGGAGGGGCTCATCTTGAAGTTGTGGAGGGTGGGGGAAGGGTTAGGGACCAGACCAGTCAGTGCCAGAAATGTCCCCTCAGCACTTCTTGGGTCAGGTGGGGGTGGCCAGCAGCCCTGGGGGTGGGGGGGGTGCTGCATTTGCTGCCTCTGGAGGACCAGGCTCTGATGGTCACTCTCCAGTGCCATGGTCTCTGACAAGGTCCTTGTGACCTGGACCCCTGCCCCCAAGGGACTGACAGGGATAGCTTGGCCCTTTGGAGATGTGGCCTTCCCTTTTCTATGGACCCTTCCCCCTTGGCCTTTTTACCCCTCTCCTGGGATCCCAGGGGTCTGAGTAAAGGATGCCGGAGGAGGGGTGCTGGGTTCCCTGGGTTAGCAGCTCACAGACGCAGCCAGCTGCTGGGACTCCTGTTGGCCTGGGGCTGCCCGGGCCTCACCCCTGGGCGCACCTGCCCCTGAGCTGCCTGTGGACCTGGGGGGAGGGTGTAGAGCTGTGCCTTCTGTACCCCATCCTGAAAGGAGGTTGGAGCTCTGTCCCCGCCCTGTCCCAGTGATGCCATCGGGGCCTGTTGGGTTCTGCCTGGTGTTTTATTGGAGGCTTGGGCGGGTGGGGTGTGGCCTGGTGGGTGAGGGGCCAAGGTGGGACCTGGGTCCTGGTGCTCACCACTGCCAGGTCCTGGGACATCCCTGCAGGAGCCCTCACAATTAAGAGTTGGTGGAGGGGCAGCAGGACCCCTGGGAGGGGAGCTGGGCAGGTGTGTGGCTTTCTGGGACATTTGCCCCACCTGGGGCCCCCAGGGGCTGGGAACTTCAGGCCCCTTACCCCTGCAGAGAGCAGGGCACAGGGAAGGCTCTGACGTCACCTGGACACAGGTCCAGATCCTGTGCTTGGTGTCCTGTGGCACAGCGTTGCTGAGCCTCTGCTGCCCTCATTTGTCACACAGAACTCCTGGCTCCTCCTCTGGCACCTGGGTGGCCCCACTGCTGCCCACTCGAGGGTAGTGAGTGAGCTGGGCACTGCTGCCACAGTGTTCTCAGGTGGAGGGCCTGGGGTGCTCATGGGGAGGCCGTGGGAGCAGGCGTGGGAGGCTGGGCTGGGCTGCTGGAGGCAGCACTCCACCTGGGCCAGTTGTTGTCTCCGTTAATCTGAGAACCGGGATGCTGGGGCCCCTCTGGGCGTGGGCAGCACCTGGAACTCAGAACCAGAACCCAGAACCTGCCTGGACTCTGGGGTCTGGAGCTGGTTGTAGCCAATCAGAGGCCAGGAATGCCTAGTCCCCTCTGCTCTGCTTATGAAGCAATAACCCAGGTCTCCAGGTGGACACAGTTGGGGACAGTGTGTTTCTTGTGGCCGGGACAGGAGGGGTCCCTGAGACCCCTGGAGTCCGGTGTGGGTGACCCCGGAGCCAGACCTACAGGAGGGAAGATGGGGGAGATGGGCGTGTTCCCTGGCCTCCAGGGTTGCACCCTGGTGAGAGCAGGTGTGAGAGCAGAGCTGGGAGGGTATCTTGGGAAGAATGGGGCCAGAGGCACTCAGACACAGTCTCACCCCCCATCTCGATAATCCCCAGGTTTCTGAACACACGTGAATGAGCCGCTCGCCAGCCTTGGCACCCGGGACCCCCCAACCCACCACTGGCATGCCCCACCAGCCTTCAGCCTGAGCCGGCGGCCCCCGCCCCCGCCCCCCGCCACCCTGCACTGTCCTTCCCTGAGGGCTTCGCGTCGGTCTCCGCAGCCTAACCGTCCGGAACGCTGGAGCCCGGACGCACAAGGCCGCGCCCGAGCTCGGACCTGCAGCCGGAACCGCAGCCCCGCTCCTGGAAGCACCGCTCCCGAGCCTCGGAGTGCCCTCCGGACACGCTGGGCCGCGGGGATCCCCTACACCGATCGCGGAACAAGAGGTGGCTTCCCGGGCGCTAGGAATGGGTGCCGCGCCGGCCACGGCTGGCCGGATCTCTGGCTCCCCGCGCT